TGGTATCCTTACTGGTTTATGCATGATTATTGCTTGGTTGCCTATTTGTGAATTCCGTTGATTGAATTCTTGTGATTAATTTGTAACCTGGAAGCATATTTACTTGCATTATATACCTGTATTTTGTGAACGGATTATATGATTGTTGTGCTTCATTTCTAAAATTGTTTTTAAACTCGACATTCATATTTTTTATATTGATCATCTGGAAAAGAATTTTTCAAAACCTTTTCTGTTTTGTCCACGAGTATAGGCCACTCTTTTATAGAATTTGTAATGGGTTCGAGGGTTGAATTATCGCAATTCGATGGAAATGGGGATTACTTGATATGGAAACAGAAAATGAGGGCCATTTTGGTCCAACAGAGAGTTGCTAAAGCTCTCGATGATCCCGTTACATTCTCTGATGAGTTAAAAGCTAAACCAACTGAAATTGAAGACATGAATGAAATTGCTTACAGTTCTATAATTTTGCATCTATCTGACAATATTGTGAGACAGGTTGATAGTGCTAAAACTGCTAGAACTTTGTGGATTGCTTTAGATGCCTTGTTCTTAACTAAAACTTTACCTAACAAAATATACCTGTTGGAAAAGTTGTTTAGTTTTAAGATGGACCCGGGGAAGGATGTCGAGGGGAATTTGAGTGACTTTAGCATAATTGTTAAGATTCTAGCTCATAATAATAAAAAATTTGACGATGAGGATTTAGCTGTCATATTGCTAAACTCTTTACCCGAATCTTACAGAGAAATGAAAAATGCCATAAAATATGGTAGGGACACTCTCAGTCAAGCTATTGTTTCCGATGCTTTAAAATCAAGAGAACTTGAATTAAAAAGAGACAACAGAACTCATTCTCGGGAAGAGAGTCTATTTGTTAGGGGAAGACCTGAAAAGAATTCATTCTCGTGAAGAGAGTCTATTTGTTAGGGGAAGATCTGAAAAGAAAGAATTCAACTTCCATAACAAGAAGGGGAGAGGAAAATCTAAAATGAGATCCAAATCTAAAGATAAAAGCGGTAAGAAATGTTATCACTGTGGAAAGTTAGGACATTTCAAGAAAGACTGCTTTGATTGGAAAAGGAAACAAAAAGACCCGAACAATTCTGATGTTGATAATGCTGCTATTGCTACTGAATTTAATAGTTTGCATGTCATGAATGTGTCTGAAGAAGAATTTGACAAAAATTGGATTCTTGACACAGGGTGCACTTTTCATATGTGCCCTGATAGGTCTTGGTTTTATAACTATAGGGAGACTGAACCTAGAAAGGTCTACATGGGAGACAATAATTCTCAAAATGTGATTGGAGTTGGTGACATAGCCATCAGGATGTACGATGGAGCCGTCACGCAACTTAGAAATGTTAGATATGTCCCAAATTTAAAGAGGAACCTCATTTCCTTGGGTTCTCTGGAAGATGAGGGATATACCTTCAAGTCTGGTAACAAGATTTTGAAAATTATGAAGGGTTCTCT